CAAAGTTTATTTTAATCTAATGTCTAGGATTCTTAGCAGATAGCTCTACTTTTCAGAGGGGGCTAGAGTCAGATTTTGAAACGTGGTTACATAAATATTCCACAGAAATTTCTTTAATTAACAGACTGTCCTTGGTGTGATAAATAGTATTCCTGAAATGCAATTCAATAGGCGAGTTTTATAGGGTCCCTGTGCCTTGGCACAGACAAGATGTAAATCTGTTACACTTGGGCACCTGGCACAGGGTTCTCAGTCTGAAACCTCTGCCTCACAAGGACTAAGGACTGTGGCTCTTTGCACCCATCCAGGAGGACACTGGGCCGATCCTGACCCTATAGGGAGTAACACTTACACCTGAGGCAAGGCACCAACAGCACAAAACCCAGTTGTGGATCTGCTTTGGGGTCTGCCTGCTAGTTACAGATGTGAGCAGGAGTGAATCTCGGCCGTTTTAGTCACCAGAGCCCCACCTGGTGTCCAGTGAGAGAAGGTAACCCGTCTGAGACACAGGATTAGCAGCCCAACTGGAAGACTCCGAAGGCTGCTGGCTACACCATGCTTTATACCGTGGAGTCCAGCACCTTGCCTCAGTGGACCAGACCCAGGACCAGGGCTTGAATCAAAGGCAGTGGTCCATCAGAGGCCTGGGCCAAAGGTCTTCAGGGCTCCCCTGAGGCCTTTCCTTGGGGAGTGTGGGAGACACAAAGGCAGCAGTGGGCAGAGGCAGAGACCACAGGGAGGGGCAGTGCACAGGTGAGGGACGGCAGGCAGCAGGGGTGGCAGAGGGGGCAGAAACAAAGCCAGGTGCAGTTGTCACAAAGTCATCACTCGAAGCCAGGGGGCCCTAGAGCCACTGGGACCTGCCGATCGCGGGGTGCCTGTCAAGACTGCAGGGCAGGCAGCCAGGGCGAGGGACTGCCTGGCGTCCACCACGTGGGGTGGTGGCAGGCCTGGTGTCCCTTCTGCCTGACCTCGGGACCACAGGTAGAAATACTTGGGCGGCACACTCAGCAGCCTGCATCCTGGAGGGAGAAGTGACACGGGTGTGGGTCACTCCGCAGATCTCCTCCCTTCACAGGGCTCGGCCTTTCCAGAAGCTGCCCGGTGCCCAGGCAGGACCAAGCCCGGCAAATAAGCGCCTCATGGGGGTCCTCATCTCCAGGCTTCGTCTGGGTGAAGTGAGGTCCAAGCGAGGGGCGCTTTGGAACACGACAGCTTAGCCGAGGGGCAGACTACGAACTGGACTGCACCGCAGGTTCCGGCTGCCTGGATGTGAAGGGCAACTGGGAGACAGCTACCCTCCGGGAAGGCAGGCAGTCCACCACGGAGAGCCTCACCCGGAGCAAGAGGCACGACACGAGGTGACGGTTTCCAGGGCAGGGGTGTCTCCAGCTGGTGAGGGTTAGGGTGGCCGTGCGTACCTGAGGAAGACCGTGCAGCCGAAGCCAGGGCTGAGGAGGCCAGAAGCCACCAGCGGAACCAGAGACAGAGCTCGTTTGACCAATGTCACCCTGTGTCCAACCGCACCAGAGCCCACAGATGTACACTGACCAGCAGTTTTTATCTGTACAAGATTTGTCCTGCCACAGAGTCAGGGCACTCTCGTCATGTAAAATGAACTTTTAGAAAGCTTTCCATCAACCACCACCACACTGCAATAGTGTCAAATGCACAATGGGTTTTTAAAGTTGTGGGGTGTGTGTATATATATACATACACACACATAGAGACATATGTACATATATTTAGAGATAAGGTCTTAGTGAGTTGTTTCGGGCCTCACTAAGTTCCTGAGGCTGGCTTTGAACTCACAGTTCTCCTGCCTCAGCCTCTCGGTCACTGGGATTACAGGCGTGCACTACCATATCCAGCAATTTTTTTTTTAAATTTTGAAATCATTTGCATAAAACTACCTAGTTTGGTGCCATTCGTTCATTCATTTATTCATGATTACAGGTTCAAGGACCCAGTGATTCATTTTCCAAACTGGAGCATTTTTCAGTGTAAAAAATATACTAGATGAATATCAAGAAAAAAGATATAAAGCAAGACACTGCTGGACAAAGCAGAGATATTGTGGGTCCTGGGTTAGCTGCTGCTCATTTTCTCTTGGGAACCCAGAGCAGGCAAAGGAAAGAGAAAGAAAGAGAAGGAAAGGACCAGACCCAATCTCCCTGTAGACATGCTAACCAAACCTGTGCTTTAGAAGCGTGCTCATCCACTGATTGCTCTAGCCCACGGAACCTGGTCCATCTGGGCCGCTCATGCTGAACAGACACAGAATTTATAGATTTACACTGTACACAAGCACTGGAAAATATCAATGTCAAACGTGTAATTAATGGAGATAATTCACATTGGAAATGCGCCTTCGTGGAAGCCCTGCCCTGTCCTCGCCTAGAGCCCTATGTCAACTCCAGCCAAGTGAGAGCCCGTGAATGGAGGCAGTGGGCTCAGTCTTGCTCCTCCACCAGGGACTCATGGGTAGCTATACTCTCTCAACTCCTAGCTAACTATAATGTTGGCACAATTTCTGACTCTTGTGAGTCTGATTTGATAATTGCCTAATTTTTATTAGAGAACTGTGCAGAACATACGTTTATTCTTTCCATCCCTTCTCCACACTTGGGCATACAGTGACCTCAGCTGTCACCCACGTGTGTGGGTCTCCCTTCCTGGCCTGCCCTTGCCTTTACTACTTTGCACAGTTATAGACACGGTGCCTTTGGTGTATTGCTGCTTTATCCACAAATACTTCAGTGTGCGTTTTCTAAACCCAAGTACATTCTCTTATGTATCCACAGCACAATGATGACAGAGAGTCAGGAACTAACCTTGATACAGCACTGCCGTCTGATCTCCAGATGCATTTCAAATTTTGCCAAGAATTCTGCTAATGTTCTTTAGAGAGAAACGAACAAGCAGACAGGATTTGGGCCAGGGTCTGACCCAGGGTTATGTCTGCAGTGGTGGTCTGGTCCCCTTGGTCTTTCTTGGTCCTTCATGACCTTGACTTTTTTAAAAGAACACGTGGCCTGCACAACTTTTCAAATAACATGTTCAACTAGAGGGAGAATTTTCTTACAATTAGTTTAGCTAGAACAATGGAGTCCTATTGAAAGACAGAGTATGCCCTACAGATGACAGACATAGATAAAAATGATAAATACTTAATGTTGCAAGTATCCAATCAAGGAATACATGTAAATTTCTTATTTTTGTTTGCTTTGTTTATTGTTCAACAATGAAATCAAAATAACTTACATCCAAACAGAAATTTTGAATAAACCTGTCCCTATGAAGAAAAAAGCATACTTTCAAAGAACCAGTTTTTCTTCTCATCTCATTTTCATTTGATGTTGATTAAAAGAAAATATTATGCCTGAACATGTCCCAGCAGTTAGCTTACCCTTAATAGAGTGGCAGGGCATGGTGTACGGTCTGTGGTGAGACGTTCCACAGTCCCCGTGGGCAGCAGGGGTGTCCCTGCCCTGCCAGCCCTGCCCTGGGACCAGCCGCCAGCCTCCTCCTGCTGCGGTTTGGGGGTTTCTTACGGGATGCTCTGTCCTGCGTGGAACGCAGTAATCACTTCCACATGTCTTTTTCCACATGTTTTTTGATGGGCTGGTTTGATCCAACTGCAATCTGATCTAAGTCCACGCCCAGTGGGCCTTCCCCGGTTCCCTCTGGGCCAGGGGCTCTTCACAGTCGGTCCCACCCTCCACCATCTCGCCTACCTTCAAGTCAGCCTGGTCACCCTTTCCATGTGCCACCCTCGCTGGGCTTCGTGGCTCCCCACCAACATGGGGGTCTGTCGAGGCCCATCTTCACCCCAAGACACCCTCACGTCCGGCTGCGTGTGGAGTGGCCCCGGCAGGAACCGGGCAGCGACTTCCCGACGTGTTCGTAGGCTCCTTGAGTTTTCTCTCCAAGCTTTCCTTTCTGAAGGCTGACATGGGTCGCGTCACATCTTGTGCGTGCTGACGGTCCCGTGGGTGGAGAGTTGCGTGGAGAAACAGAATGCACCTCACATGCGCGTGTGCACGGCACCCTCCTTAGCGGTAGCGCTGGGGTCTCCACCAGCCGCTCGCCTCTGGCCTCCAGCTGGACCCTCGAGCGGCAGCCGCTTCCTGCCCTGGGAATGTCCACCCAGTCCACTTTCCACTTAGGAAACCTGCCCAACGTCGCCCGGGGCGCGTTGGATGTTGCTCTCATCAGAAACAGCAGTGGGCGGCTTGGTAGGGTGGCTCCGTGGCGCTGTGACCTGGTTTGCTCTCTGCTCCCAGGATCTAGGGACGACCCTCGCATCGAGTCGGGCCTTTTCTCTGACTCCAGCGAGCCCCCTGCAGGTCGGGCTTCATGCCCCAGCGCCCGGCCCCTCCTACGGATCCTGCGGGCTCCGCTTCTGTGGTCCGGCTCTCAGCTGCTGCACCCCTTTCTCAATGATGTGTCTCCATTTTTAAAATACAATGTTAGTGTCTTTTTATTTCAGTATCTTTTTTTTCTACTCAGTTTGTTCTTTCCTAAAATCTTTCTGATCTCAACTCAGTTGGCATTTGTCTTCTTACACACACAAAAGTTTTAAGTTGTTTATTTATTAGAATCTTGGAACAGATCATTTTTAGATTTATCTAGACCTCATTTTCAGCCCCCAAAACAACCTTGGATGCTGTTGCATACGGGAATGAATATCTCGGCCATCAAAACTTGATTCCACCGATTTTTCTAAACAAAACTTCTATAGCTGAAATAATCAGAATTATATGTACCTCCCGATTTTATACATATGTCCTGTTCCCTGGATTTCTTCTCCTCCAGTATATGAAAAACAACTTTTTATGAAAACAAACGTGGCAGGTGTGTAAGTGTAACAGGTGTGTAAATGTGTGTAATGGGTATGTGAGTGTGTGCAACCAGTGTGTAAGTGTGTGTAACAGGTGTGTAAGTGTGCTCAGCTTACAGACTGGGAATTATGTATTCAGTGCACAAGGAAGTGACTGTGTCCCAGACACTGTGCATTCTGCAATTGCTGCATCGCACATGGGAAGGCACGGGAGCCACACCGTGCTCTGGAGAAGCGCGGCTCTGAGTGACCCACTGCACCAGGAGCAGACACACAGGGCCACATCATGAATGAGGAGCCCAGAAGCTGCCCACTAAAAATCATTGTAACTTCCTGTTTCAATTAAGACATTTTAAAAGACTTCTTTTAGGTTCAGAATTTTAGGGACATTTAGAGCAAATGACCCCAAACAACTGGATTCCTGGTTACTCATGAGGCTCTATCAGCTGTGTGTCAAGGTGGATGGGGACAAGATGTGTCATTTCCTTGCTGTAGTCCAGTGGAGCAGCTGGGAGATGAGATGGGAGGGAAGAGGAGGAGGACAGCAGCTAACATCACCAGTGGAAAAGAAACACTTCACCCCTAGTTTCGGGAGCCACAGGTCATGTACCACCACACAGCCAACGACGGTCCCTCCCCCCATCCAGTACTATTCTTCTCAGGAGGTAAGGATGGACCAGACCTTCACACTGGGAGGTGAAGACTGCCGCAGTCCGGCTGCAGCAAAATAACCGGGGGGTTGTACATTGATACAGCAGGAGTGGGGGCCGTTTATTGTAGGACAGGAGGGGTATATATACATTCCACACAGCTTATCTTAATTAACATAAACTAGATACAGCAGGCAACCAATAAGGAATCTCCACACTTAATGGCTCGCTGGCGTTACTTCACAAACCACTCCCTCTGGCAAAATGCCAGGCGCCATCCTGACTTGTTTACAGACTCTAACAGAAGACAAAGACAGAGAGCACAGAAATAATAGTGCCTGAGTCTTCCTAAGAGTTGCAAAACTTCACAAAAGTTAGCCACCACCTTCGGACTGAGACTTAAACAATAATTTAAAATTCTGCAGGCAGCTAAGCCAAGAGGAGCCCTGCTCTGTAAAAAGCAACCTTCCTAGCACGCCCAAGGAAGGCGGGGACAGCAAAAGCCTCACAGGCAATGACCACCCGCGACAAACACTACGTCCAGGGAGTGACGTCAGAGGGTCTGAGGATAAGAAGACCAGGAGACATGCATCTGATGGGGAATGAACAGCAGGACCTTGGGGACACAGAACAGGAGAAAAGCAAGACAGTGGAGGGTGGGGTTGTGCTCAGAACAGATGCCCCGGAGCACGGGAAATGTGGCTGTACTTCCTTCTGACCATCCAGGGAAAGGAGGAAGACACAATCAACTACCTGGCGAATGGTGCACTCAGGATAAGGAAGCACAGATGATTTCCGAGGAAGCAGACTGATTTAGCTCCACGCTCCTCCAGTGTGTGCAGAAGGTTCTTTGTGATGTCCTGACCGGTGTCCTTAGCAACAAAGGTCCAACGTGACTTACGTAGACACCTGGAACAACCACCAAGTGTGGTTCAGTCAGAATAGTGCAGCAGGAGCTGCTGCTCCCTGACATTCTGGCAGGAGGGGTGGGCAGGCCACCCACCTTGGGGGCACGTGCAGGGTGACTGCCGTCCTCTGGACAGCAAGGCCATTGTCCTTCACAGGGCAGAGTTCTGAAGAAGCACTGCCAAGATGGAGCCAAGATTTCCCTGAGGAAGCACTCTGGGTGGATTGCCACACAGAGAAGGGTCAGGGCGATTTAGACTTAGTAATTAGACAACCCTGCGAAGCCCAGTCTAGTCAGAGACTGGATGCACGGAGGTTTGGATCAAGGCTGCTGGCACCGTGGCTTTGTGTGTGTGTCCACAGCATCCTCTTACAAGGACACCTAGTCACCGGATCACCCTGCCCACCAGTCCAGGATGACCTTACCTTAACTGACTGACTGCATCTGCAAAGACCCTACTTCAAACAGGATGTCATTCTGAGGTTCATGGTGAACGTGAATCTGAGGGGACATGATGTACCCAGCATGACCCTCAATTGCAATTGAAGATACTCAGACTCTTTGCGGCCTGCAACTGCCCCGTTAGGGTGGGGGTTCAGTGACTCACAGCGGGGAGATGAGTCAGGACCTTACATGGCTGGAGGAGTGGCTGCTCTGTCCTTTCCCATCACAGCTGTCTCTGTGGCCCTCGACTCTGCTGTGTGTAGGTCTTTTATCCTTGACTGAATGTTACTGAGGACCTGTATGTTTTCATCAACTGATTGTGTGATAGGTATTTTTGGAGTAAAAAAATCCTTTGGGAGAAGGAGTGGAAGGAAGCCAGGAATAGAGCACTATGGAATCCCGCTGGGAGTCAGGCCCGGTTCATGCATTACCTCCTCAGAGGAGGAAGGCAGCTCCCGCACCTCAGGCCCTCCGCCTGCCTTGAGGGACAGTGCTGTCACAGGCCATGTGATCTCAGGGTACTCTGAGAAAGCTGTACGGATTCTGGTTCTTTTCATGCAGGGGGAAAGGTAAGGTCTAACCACATTCTTCCACACGTGGACACACAGTTTTCCCAGCTCCGTTTGTCTTCTCCAGTGTGTGTCGGGCACTGTTGAGGATCAGAGGGCAGCGTCTGCCAGGGTTTGTCTCCGCCCTCTCTAGGATTGGGCTATGGGTCTGCATTTACGCCGTGCCTGCAGTTTTTGTTACTGTATTTGAAGTCAGGTATAGCTGGTGCCTCCGTCACTGCTGTTTTGACTCAGGATTGCTTTGGCTATTCTGGATCTTTTATCCTTCCAAATGAACTTTAGGACTTTTTTCCAAGTTCTGTGAAGAATGTCGTGGGTATTTTGCATTGAATCTGTACCTGATTTTATCAGTGTGGCTGTTTTGACAATATTAATCCTGCCTATCCGTGGACATGGGAGGTCTTCTTCAATTTCTTTCTTCAATGATCTCTATTTGCCATCGTAGAGGTCTTTTACCTCCCTGGTTAGATTTATTCCTTGCTTTTTTTCTTTTTTCTTTTTTGGGATATTGTGAATGGGATTGTTTTCCTGATATTTTTTTCTCAGCAGATTCATTATTGATGTATAGAAAAGCATTTCTTGTTTAATTATTTTTGATTGCTAGACTGTGCTTTGAATGCAAGCTGGTCATGTGGGCACCATAATTTAAAAGTTTTATATATAAAATATGTAACATTAAAACTCTACAAGAAAATACTTTTTGAAATAAATTAAGATTTTTCTTTCTTACATTTTGCTGAATTTTAAAATGAATATCTTCTCTTCTATGATAGAAATAAATAAACGAGGGGCTGGCTCAGTGGTAGAGCTCTTGCCAAGCACATGTGAGACACTGGATTCAATTCTCAGCACCACATAAAAATAAATAAAATAAAGGTATTGTATCCATCTACAATTAAAAATATTTTTTAATTTTTTAATTTATATATGACAGCAGAAAGCATTACAATTCAATTCTTATCACA